TTGGCAGCTCTATATAAGTACCTGAAATAAAAGTAAGGTGACACTAAACTCTGGTTTAAAAAAAAAAAGTCCCTTCTATTGCTCTCAACCACCTCGAAATCTCCACATTTCTTTTTTTTTTGGCTGCTGTGATCTGACTTCCTGTTAGAGAGTGGCTACATTCACTCTCCATGTACCAAAGTAGTCACCCTCTCCTGCTCACTCCAAAGACAAGACAGACTATGGGATTTGTAGTGGGCATAGAGCAGTGTACATGACTGCAACTAACACACAGTGCACGTCCTAAACCAATGGAAGTGAGGAGGAAAAAGGAGAGGTTCGGAAGCTCAAGGAGTAACAGTAGGAAATTATTTAATGCAAAACAGATTACAGGGTCAGAAGACCAAGCATTTTCTGGCACGTTTTGTTTTTTTGTACTTTTTTGCTAGAAAATTACTTGTAACACACAAACTTTTTTATATATATATACACACACACACATACACATATATGTATCTCTCTCCTATTGGTGGCGACCGGAGCAGCAGCATAGCACACAGCTCCGGTTGCCTCCGCGCTCCCGCCCGCCAACCCCAGGAGCAGCGGGCACACGGCGGTCAGTGGTCTCCCCTACCTCCCTTACCTTGAGGAGAGAGCGGTCCTCCACGTGGTGCTGGTTCTCCTCGGCAAACGGTCCTGCCTGGTCCTCCACACGGCACCGGCCCATCCACGCGGCGCCGGTCCTTCTCCGCTCTGGCGCCCCTCCACAAGCCGAGCCGCGACCTTCCACCGCCCGCCAAGCTCCAGGCACCTGGCCTGAGAAGGAGGAGCGGCCGCCCGAGCCCCAACAGATTTGTCAGAAAACCGAGCACACAGCTTCCTGAGGAGGAACGGCCGCCCAAGCTTCCCCACCGCTCCACCCCTGCCTCCCCAGAGCCTCATTGCAGTGGCGCCCCTCCTGCAGGGCCCAGCCGCAGATACTGAACACAAGCAATAAGGGAGTATAGCCATACAAGCCTCCCACCGCCCACTATTCCGCCGCCTCCCACCGCCCACAACTCAGTCACCTGGCCTGCAGAGCCTGCTGCGGCCCCCGCATCTAGGCCGCACGCCATCCCAGCAGGGCCCAAAGCTACTTAGACCACCAGGCCAACCACACCACCCAGCTCCCAAGCCCTCACCAGTCAACCCTACCACCCAGGTAGTTAAGGACTGGGGGAGGGCGAAGGAGCAAGAGATCTGCACCACCTAGGCTTAGGCCTAACTCACAACCACAGCGCCTGGCCGGCCAGGGCCTCCTGCGGCCTACCATGGCACAACCCCCCTGACACCCAAAGGGAGCCTGCAGCTGGCCTAAGGGAGCTCCACCCGCACACCCCCATCCACGTCCGAAAGAGGGACCCGAAGTGAGCTTTTTTCCACGCTGCCGAGCCCAGCAGACGATCTCGGCCTGGTGAAGCCTACCATCACCTACCACAACGCAACCCTGCCCGGACCTGCTGAACCCAACGGAAGATCTCGACCTTGTGAGGCCTACTATCGCCTACCATGTTGCAACCCTGCCCTGACCTGAAGCCCATCTGACGACCCCCGTGAGTACAGTGCGGGAGAAAGCCCGACTGCTGGTTCTGTTATCCCCCAGCCCCTACTACGCCCAACTCCCACAGCTGATGCCCACCCCTCATAACCTTCTCTAAACCTCATCTCCACCACCTGGGAAACACTTCCACTGCTGACGTTCACCCCTCATTCCCTCATCTCCTCAAGCTAAATCTCACCCCTCAATCTGGGATTTACACAAACTGGAACTTGCAGCTTGACTACCCTTGGCCACAACTTATCGAATGGAACTCTACCCATCCTGATCCTAAGCACGAGAACTCTTGATACAGGAAGATACAACAACAAGATACACCACTGCATGCTAGACTATCTGCAACCAAGCTCCCTGAGAAGCTTTCCACCTCACTTGTCCGCCACTCCGTTTACCTTCCTAAAATGCCACCTGTACTCCTCCTTCTTATACTCCTCTCCTCCGTTCCCAAAATCTCTTCTCTTTATCCCTCTGCTCCTCCCAAACAACTATACATCACGCCCTCACTGCTTCCATCTCCCCACTATGGCTCTCACCACCTCCTCCTGATACTCCACTCTCCCACTGACCCGAACGCCACCACTAGCAGACTCACACGCTCTTGTACATCCCGCTCCCATGCCAACTTTCTCACCCTTATTCTTCTCCTAACCGCGGGGACATCTCTCCCTCTCTACTGGCGCATTCCCCTCCCCTCTGAAGCACGTGCACATCACTCCCATACTGAAAAAACCCTTCCTGGATCCCACCGACCTGAACAACCTTAGACCCATCTCCCTGCTGCCATTTACATCCAAACTCCTTGACCGCTTAGTCTATAACTTCACCGACAACAACCTCCTCGATCCCCTACAGTCTAGCTTCCATCCCCTACACTCCACCGAAACCGCCCCCTACTCAAACTCACCAATGACCTGCTAACGCAAAGCTAATGGACACTACTCAGTGCTCCTACTCCTCTACCTCTCTGCGGCTTTTGACACGGTTGACTACCCCCTCCTCCTAAAAAATCTATATTCTCTTGGCCTCAGAGACTCCGCTCTCTCCTGGCTCTCCTCCTATCTATCCCAGTGCTCCTTCAGTGTTACCTATAATGCTGCCACCTCCCCCTCCCCCAATGTTCTGTCCTCGGGCCCCTTCTCTTCTCCATCTACTACACCTCCTCCCTTGGGCACCTGATACACTCCCACGGCTTTAACTACCATCTCTATGCTGATGACACGCAAATCTATCTCTCTACCCCTCACCTCACTCCTTCTGTCTCCGCCCAGATCACCTGCCTACTGAACGACATATCAGATTTGATGTCACTCCACTTCCTCAAATTAAACCTTTCCAAAACCGAGCTCCTAGTTTTCCCCCCAGCCCATGCCCCCCCCCCCCCGACTTCTCCATCACGACCAACAACGCCACCATCAGTCCCACCCCGCAAGCCAGAGTACTAGGTGTCATTCTAGACTACAATCTGTCTTTCCAACCCCAGGTCCAATCGCTGACAAATTCATGCAGACTCCACCTCCGCAACATCTCCAAAATACATCCGTTCCTAACTCCAGTAACTACAAAGCAACTTATTTACTCCCTTATTATATCATGACTTGACTACTGCCCCAAACTACATCACCGATCTGATATCCAAATACCACCCAAAACGTACTTTCCGCTCCTCACAAGACCTCCTACTCTCTAGTTCCCTGGTCTTCTCCTCCCATGCCCGTCTCCAGGACTTCTCCAGGGCTTCCCCCTCCCTGTGGAACTCACTACCCCAATCCATCAGACTCACCTACCCTCCTCACCTTTAGGTACACCCTGAAAACCCATCTCTTCAGGGAAGCCTACCCCGCCCTCACCTAGTTGCCAATCTCCTCCACTCTTCCTACCACTCCATCCCCCACAGTTATTTCCTCCTGTACCACTATCCCCTCCCTCCTAGATTGTAAGCTCCAAGGAGCAGGGCCCTTGAACCCCTTGTGTATTATTGTATTGCTACTGTACTGTCTCGTGTACTGTCTCCCATTATAATGTACAGCGCTGAGCAAACTGTTGGCACTATATAAATACTGTATAATAATAATAATATATGTGTGTGTATATATATTAATGGTTGTGCGTTAAAATTATATATAATATATATATATATATATATATTTTTTTTTATTTTTAATTTTTTTAGCAAAAACTCTAGAGAATGAAATGGCGATCGTTGCAATTTGTTATGTCTCGTGGTATTTGCGCAACGGTTTTTCAAACGCAATTGTTTTGGAAAAAATACACGCGAATTTATTAAAAACACAATATATACCCCTTCTTTTAATTATGAAAGAGGACGTTACAGCGAGTAAATAGATACCCAACATGTCACGCTTTAAAATTGCGCACGCTTGTGGAATGGCGACAAACTACAATACTTAAAAATCTCCATAGGCGACGCTTTACATTTTTTTACAGGTTACCTGTTTAGAGTTACTCTAGCACTTGAATTATTGCTCTCGCTTTAATGTTCACGATACCTCACGTGTGCTGAGAACACCGTTTACATATGCATGTGTGGCTTACATATGTGTTCACGTCTGTGTGCGAGCACGGAGGGATGGGGGAATGTTACATTTTTTTTTCTTATTTATTTTATTTTTTACTTTTACGCTGTCCCTTAATTTATCTTATTTATTTTATTTTTTTTATCACTTTTATTCCTATTACAAGGACTGTAAACATTTCTTGTAATAGAAATAAGCATGACACGTTCTCTTTAAGGAGAGATCTATGGTCAAAAAGACCCCGGATCTCTCCTGTACCTCTGAAAACAAAAGATTAAAAAAAAATGTTTTTGATCTTTTGCTTTAAAAAAGAAAAAAATATTGTTTACATCCAGCCCGAACCGGATGTGACATCATGATGTTACATCTGGCCCAGATGTGACGTCATGACGTCACTCCGGTCATCCAATGGCATAGAGGCGATCAGAGACCACAGAGTCTCTCATCGCCTCTGGAAGCAGCTGGCCGCACCGTTGGATCATTTCTCGGGCGTGTCAGATATAATGGTAAGCCCGAGAAACACTGGTGGTGGTGGGGGGGGGGCAGGGGGGCAGCCCCTCCCACTGCTACAGAAAGCGTTCCCAAGGCTAATGAGCTGCTGAAAGCTGGCCGTTGGCTGAAAAAAAAGATACCGGGGTCACGGCTGATATCTTCAGTATCTTCAGCCATAACAACGGTAAACCACTTGAAAACTGCAACGTTTATATACATATTGAGGTCAACAAGTGGTTAAGTAATGGAAATGAAAACTGAACAAAGCTGATCCTTTTATAGTGTGTACTTGCCTCTGTCTAAAGCACCTAGTGTGATCTCTGGCTGCTATCTCATTTCTCTGCTGTCTGCATATGTAAGTCACTTTACTTCATTCTCTGGTATTTTTGTCTCTTCTAGCCCCAGCTGAGTTTGTCCAGCACCCGCAGTCCATTTCCCGGCCTGTTGGCACTACAGCGATCTTCACATGTCTGGCCCAGGGAGAGCCACCACCTCAGATCACATGGCTGAAGAATGGCCGGGAGTTGGAGCCCAATGAACATATCAAGCTCAAGAATAACAACAGGTATGAAGGAAAAAAGAGAGGCAATGGTGAGAAGAAGAAAAAAAAAGTAGACATACCCATATGGAAGAAAAATATATATTTGAAATATATTTGAAACATATTCTTCCCAAATATATTGCCATATATTTGAAATGCTACAATTTTGGCCGTATACAATATATATATATATATAATATAATAAAAAAAACTTTTCTTAAAAAAGTCCAAAATCACAAAACACACCCCACTTTTATAAACAAATATTCAATAAACAAATGTTCAATAAAGTCTCTTTTATTCTTCTTTTCCACTAAAAAATCCTTTTTCTCAACACCCGTACATTCTGATGCCCATATACCTCAAAAAGAAAAAACTTAACATAGTGTCATACCTTTTTAGAAATCAAAACGCACGTGCCCTTAACAGTGCACCATGCACTACTTGTGAAAACACTCAAGCAGACAAGAAAAAAAAAAAAAAAAAAAAAAAAAAATATATATATATATATATATAACTCTCTATGTGAATATCAGCATATATTATTAATATACAGTCAGGTCCATAAATATTGGGACATCGACACAATTCTAACATTTTTGGCTATACACCACCACAATGGATTTGAAATGAAACAAACAAGATGTGCTTTACCTGTAGACTGTCGGCTTTAATTTGAGGGTATTTACATCCAAATCAGGTGAACGGTGTAGGAATTACAACAGTTTGCATATGTGCCTCCCACTTTTTAAGGGACCAAAAGTAATGGGACAATTGGCTTCTCAGCTATTCCATGGCCAGGTGTGTGTTATTCCCTCATTATCCCAATTACAATGAGCAGATAAAAGGTCCAGAGTTCATTTCAAGTGTGCTGTTTGCATTTGGAATCTGTTGCTGTCAACTCTCAAGATGAGATCCAAAGAGCTGTCACTATCAGTGAAGCAAGCCATCATTAGGCTGAAAAAACAAAACAAACCCATCCGAGAGATAGAAATAACATTAGCCATGGCCAAAACAACTGTTTGGAACATTCTTAAAAAGAAGGAACGCACCGGTGAGCTCAGCAACACCAAAAGACCCGGAAGACCACGGAAAACAACTGTGGTGGATGATCGAAGAATTCTTTCCTTGGTGAAGAAAACACCCTTCACAACAGTTGGCCAGATCAAGAACACTCTCCAGGAGGTAGGTGTATGTGTGTCAAAGTCAGCAATCAAGAGAAGACTTCACCAGAGTGAATACAGAGGGTTCACCACAAGATGTAAACCATTGGTGAGCCTCAAAAACAGGAAGGCCAGATTAGAGTTTGCCAAATGACATCTAAAAAAGTCTTCACAGTTCTGGAACAACATCCTATGGACAGATGAGACCAAGATCAACTTGTACCAGAGTGATGGGAAGAGAAGAGTATGGAGAAGGAAAGGAAATGCTCATGATCCTAAGCATACCACCTCATCAGTGAAGCATGGTGGTGGTAGTGTCATGGCGTGGGCATGTATGGCTGCCAATGGAACTGCTTCTCTTGTATTTATTGATGATGTGACTGCTGACAAAAGCAGCAGGATGAGTTCTGAAGTGTTTCGGGCAATATTATCTGCTCATATTCAGCCAAATGCTTCACAACTCATTGGACGCCGCTTCACAGTGCAGATGGACAATGACCCAAAGCACACTGCAAAAGCAACCAAAGAGTTTTTTAAGGGAAAGAAGTGGAATGTTATGCAATGGCCAAGTCAATCACCTGACCTGAATCCGATTGAGCATGCATTTCACTTGCTGAAGACAAAACTGAAGGGAAAATGCCCCAAGAACAAGCAGGAACTGAAGACAGTTGCAGTAGAGGCCTGGCAGAGCATCACCAGGGATGAAACCCAGCGTCTGGTGATGTCTATGTGTTCCATACTTCAGACTGTAATTGACTGCAAAGGATTTGCAACCAAGTATTAAAAAGTGAAAGTTTGATTTATGATTATTATTCTGTCCCATTACTTTTGGTCCCTTAAAAAGTGGGAGGCACATATGCAAACTGTTGTAATTCCTACACCGTTCACCTGATTTGGATGTAAATACCCTCAAATTAAAGCTGACAGTCTTCAGTTAAAGCACATCTTGTTCGTTTCATTTCAAATCCATTGTGGTGGTGTAAAGAGCCAAAAATGTTAGAATTGTGTTGATGTCCCAATATTTATGGACCTGACTGTAGGTATCCGTGTCACCAAATCTATGACCAGTGAGACAAATACAAATCACATCCACTATGTGAGTCTGTGACACTTATGACACTGCAACTTCGTGACACCATACTTGCAATAAGTGATCAAACACACATCCCCAACCAAAACCGTGATCTCCAACTCCTTGTGTAAGATGGATAATTACCCTCTATAACCACAGACAGGGCTAGATATAGATCTCCTTAGCTGTAGAAATCCATCCAATATTAGGTCCAATAAAGTATTATATCTTCCATTCTCCTCATAAGAAAATCCAAGTAAACATATGGTAGATTCAAATAAATGACAGACTTTATTCAACAACTTACATTGCAGTAAGAGTAAAACAGCTTCTCCTCATCAAGGTGTACAAGCAGACAAGCTAGGGAACACTGGCCACATGTTCCCACTTCCAAGATGGCCGCGATCGCACTTTCTGTCAATGTTAATGCGTCTGACGTCACGTGTTACTGACGCGTTTCGTCACTTCCGGTGACTTTTTCAAAGGATCCTTGGAAGTGGGAACATGTGGCCAGTGTTCCCTAGCTTGTCTGCTTGTACACCTTGATGAGGAGAAGCTGTTTTACTCTTACTGCAATGTAAGTTGTTGAATAAAGTCTGTCATTTATTTGAATCTACCATATGTTTACTTGGATTTTCTTATGAGGAGAATGGAAGATATAATACTTTATTGGACCTAATATTGGATGGATTTCTACAGCTAAGGAGATCTATATCTAGCCCTGTCTGTGGTTATAGAGGGTAATTATCCATCTTACACAAGGAGTTGGAGATCACGGTTTTGGTTGGGGATGTGTGTTTGATCACTTATTGCAAGTGTGGGTGTCACGAAGTTGCAGTGTCGTAAGTGTCACAGACTCACATAGTGGATGTGATTTGTATTTGTCTCACTGGTCATAGATTTGGTGACACGGATACCTATATTAATAATATATGCTGATATTCACATAGAGAGTTAATATATATATATATATATATATATATATATATATATTTTTTTTTTTTTTTTTTTTTTTTCTCGTCTGCTTGAGTGTTTTCACAAGTAGTGCATGGTGCACTGTTAAGGGCACGTGTGTTTTGATTTCTAAAAAGGTATGACACTATGTTAAGTTTTTTCTTTTTGAGGTATATGGGCATCAGAATGTACGGGTGTTGAGAAAAAGGATTTTTTCGTGGAAAAGAAGAATAAAAGAGACTTTATTGAACATTTGTTTATTGAATATTTTGTTTATAAAAGTGGGGTGTGTTTTGAGATTTTGGACTTTTTTAAGAAAAGTTTTTTATTATTATCTTTAACCTTCAAGGGTGGAGGTAGACTACTTTTCTGGGTTTTTATTTGGTGTGCTTTGTTTTTGAGAAATAAATATATATATATATATTATATATATATTATATATATATATATACACACACACACACATATACATACATATATATATATATATATATATATATATATATATATATATATATACACATACTGTATACAGTATATACACACACATATGTATATATATATATATATATATATATATATATATATACAGGGGCGGACTGACCATTTGGAAACTCGGGCAGTGCCCGAGGGCCCAGGGTCAGTAGGGGCCCATGAGGTGCCCCTGGTACCTTTTTCATAGGCTTTTTTGAGTTTGGGCAAGCACACAGGGGCCCCATGATCCCCTATTGCCCGGGGGCCCCATGAGTTGTCAGTCTGCCCCTGTGTGTGTGTATATATATCTATATATATATATATATATAATATATATATATATACGTATATACACACACACTGCATGTTGAAATGCGTTTTTTTTTATATTACAAAGTGCATGAAAAACTATTTTTAAATATATTCTTCAGATTTTTTTTAACATATAAAAGAGTCATTTTAACATATATTTTTTTACATATATTTGTAAATGCATTCCAAAAATGCAGATTAAATGTATTTTTAAAGACATACAGTATATTTGAAAATTTTTTAAAGATATTTTTCATATATTTTGTAATATTTGAAAAGCTATATATATATACTGCATGTTGAAATGTGTTTTTATTACAAAAGATATGAAAAATATTTTTAAAAATACATTTCAAATATACTGTATGTCTTTAAAAATACAAATCTGCATTTTTAGAATGCATTTACAAATATATGTAAAAATATGTGTTAAAATGACTTTTTTATATGTTAAAAAAAAAAGTCTGAAAATATAATCTGAAGAATATATTTAAAAAAAATATATTTGTAGAAATATATATATTTTTTAAATATATTCTTCAGATTTTTTTTAACCTATAAAAAAATTAATTTTAACATTTTATTGAAATATATTTTTAAATAGATTGAATACGGTCAAAATTGTAGCATTTCAAATATAGGTCAATATATTTGGGGAGTATATTTTAAAAATATATTTCAAATATATTTTTCTTCCATGTGGGTACATAGACTACAACCCATTCTGGTTGTCCCAGTGATACAGTATAGCACAATTATTCTGATATTGCTGCATGCATAAAGTAAGACAACCTCCATTGTAAACGAAGGGGAAGTGAAATGCAGCAAACGACATAAATAACCATGGATAATCCCTAGTAGAGCGTTGTACCACCATCCTTTATAGTAGCGAAAACAAAAACAAAAAAGAACAAATAGTGATTGACACTTGAATCTAGGTTCACACCTACGCGTTTTCCGTTGCGTTTTGCAGAAACGCACAGCAGCCCATTTAACATGATTTCCTATGGGACAGGTTCACATCTCCGCGTTTTCACCCTGTGCGTTTT